TTATACAATCATTGGTATGGGTTATTCTTGGGTTAATAACAGACTTTATTGTTTGGAACTTTAACTTCAAATTTAGAGTGATGCTTTGTAAAGTATTGGCATGTTTTACCAGCTTTTATATCCTATCTGGAGAAGTTGAGTCTAATTTAGAATGGCCAGGGTTGATCCTAAACAGGCTTTTAATTGCCCCACAAGAGAGGCAGCCATTAATTACAAGTACATGCAGCGAATTGGCTGAAATGAGACAGGGACAGCCACTGCCCTGGAACTGGTGACAGCCTCCTCTTCTCATCTGTGGGGAGTAAGTTCAAATGCTGCTACCTGATTTCCCACTTCCTATTTATCGGTTTAGTTCCTCTCACTTTGGGCCAATTTTTATCCCCTAAAATGCAGTGTTAGAGCCCCCCCCCCACGCCCCCCTGACAGAAACCACATCCTAAACCAAGGGTTACAATGAATCCTTATTTACCATCCTGAAGTAGCAAGATTTAATTTTATTTCAGGTGCTTGGGATCATTCTTGTCTCTCAAAACAGTGAGTCACAGTCTCCCAAACGGAACAAAGATAAAGCAAAATCAAAGCAGCCTGAGTTTATTTTAAAGATTTATTTATTTATTTATGCATACAAGAACTGGGGTACAGGCCAGAGGTGTGGGGTTTGGGGGCGGTGAAAGGATTCACCAGAGACAGAACGGGGAACAGAACAGGCAGACTGACTGAAATACACTGCTGAGGGGAGCAGTGGAGAGGAGCAGGAGAGGTCTGCTGGGGATCGAACTCATGGTGCTGAGGCTGCGGATAGCGTCACAGTGCTGTGCTTATTAACCCATTGCACCACCAGGGAGGCCCCTAAGAATTTATTTAAAGAACACTTGGAATATATATATTTAATATTTGGTTATATCCTTGCAACAGCTACTTGCACTCGATCTAAAGTAAAAACTCCAAGTGCCTTTCTCACATGATTGTGTATCTGTACTCATACCCTCGTTTGAGAAAAAACCCCGGTCACACTCATCTACTGAGTGGCATAAAGAGGCTTGCTAATGCTCTGTCAACCATGCAACTGTATTTAGCTGATGGAGACCATCTACGACAAAGCTGCAGGCAGGAGCGTTGTGATTGTGGGGGCATGGGCAGGGATAGAAGAGGGTGTGTTGCAATGAATCTGGATGATTTCTTTAATCCTTACTGCCTTCTCTGAAACTGAACACTGATTTCCAGTCTCTCTGTGATTCCACCCCCTCCTCCTATCTCAGCATTTACTCCTTCTTGAAAACCGCATTATTCTCAGAGTCCAGATGGATTAGGAAAACTGCTTACAAATTCCATGAAAGTAGTAAGTTCTAAGCATCTGCAGGCTTTTTGCTAAGACCCTTTGACCACTGCACCTGCTTCAATTTTTCAAAAGTCAGGTTGCTTTCCATTGCCTGTCCATGCAGTTATAGAATTCTAACAGCCCGCTGGATTTATAAATTGTCCTTCTTAATAGATCCAAGCATTAATCAGTGTTACCCATTACTATATTTCAAAGTCTAGTTCCCACTTCATAGGTAAACAGACATGAAGACAGTGAACTGATTTGCCCATGGCTGGTCAGTAAAATCTTATTCTCTTAGCTCCCAATTTAGTAGTTTATATGTGAAGTTACATTGCCTTATTCAGTCCTTGGGGAAAATAATCCTGGAATCTTGTATAAGCAAAATGGACCCCGAATTACAATCTCACCAGAGAAATTAATTGACTAATTTATCAAGTGTGAAAGTAACATTAGAATATTCTGCCCAGTTGATCAAAACCTGAAGTAAGTTCATTTAAAAAATCCCTTCAGGCAAAATAAATGATTGAAATTCAGCATAACAGATTTGCAGGTATAAAACCAGCTGAACGTGAGGACTACAATTCCAGTTACAACGATCACAAATCCCCAGAGTTTAAGACAACTCACAACTCAATTAACACTATTCAATTATCTTAATAATGATGTTTTAAAAGAGAAACCAAACTTGAAGTTTCATTAAAAATAACAAAGCAAATGTAACACAATGTTATTTGTAGCTTCTATGTGGTAGATGTTCGTGCTAGATGTTCTTGCTACAATTAGTTCAACGTTTTTGCCTGTTTGAGAAGTTTCCTAATAAAGTGCTGGGGGAATGAGCAGGGAAAAAAAAAAAAAAAAAAAAAGCTAACAGCTATGCCTTGCCACCTGAAACTTAACAATAGAAATAACCTAAGAGAAAGTGGTAAGCTTCAACCAGTACTTTGATTAAAACTGTGAACCATAGGGATGTGTGCTGTGTCCAGGCTCTGCTAACTGACCCTCCCTCAGTTTAATCACCTGGCACCTCTAATAGGGATCACCTGCTAGGAACACAAGTCCTGTGACACTAGCTTTAACCCTGGAATCTGCCTCGGAATGAATGTTGGGATAAATGGAACTAGTCAGAAAAGGCAAAGGTGCCCCGCTGACAAGTTCTGTTCAGAGAAAATGGCTTGGCGGTGGCAGCACCAATCTTGCAGGTGTGCTTAGGTGAACTTTCCAGCAACCAGCCTTGGACCCACAGAGTCTCAAGCCTTGAGAGCAGAGATTGCCCCCCACCAAGCCTCACGTGCTAAAGGAGGGTGAGCGTTCTCTGAGAAGCCACTTTGAGAGAGAAAAAGGAGCACCATACACCATGTCTCCTCATTCCACAAAACCTCTTCCCGCGCTACAATTGTTTATAAGAATTTTATGACTTTATAACAACCTGAACTTGCTAGGAGGAACAAGATACAAAAACATTAAGGCTTACATGCTCTTCAGCAAAGCATCTCTTTGCAAGTGTGTCTGACTGAAAGTGAAGGCTGCAACTGAATACTACAATGTCAGGGATTCATCTAATTTGATTTCATCAGTTACCAGCTTTCTGACTAGTGGGGATTTGGAAGTGCCAACCCTATTCTATAGACACAATGGCAGCAACTGTGAAACTAATTCTGGCTTATGTAAATCTAGGGATTTAAAAAAGGCACATACAAACCACATTTTTTTGTCCCTTTATCATTTCCTAAATCATTGTACTGCTTAGGTTCTTCAGAACTAGGGAACTAGACCCCACAAAAAGCACCTAGTGGTACTAAAATAGTGGAATTGAAGAAAGTCAAGAAAAGAGCAGCAAAAGCTGAATAAAAGTATTTGACTCATATTACAAAAATGTCTCTAGTAACTAAGAATGTTTTCTGGATAAAAGGACAGCAAGCAACTGTTATCTTTAAGACTATCCTGGGCCTCCCTGGTGGAGCAAGGGGTTGAGACACAACCCATGAAGCTATCCGCAGCCGGCTGAGTTTGATCCCCGGCTGGCCAGGGAGCAGCCCATATGGCACAGCAGACCTCTTCTGACTTGCCCGCTGCTCCTCTCAGCAGTGTATTTCAGTCAACCTGCCTATTCTGTTTCCCACTGTCTGGTGAATCCTCTCACCCCCCATACCTCTGGCCTGTACCCCAGTTCTTGTATGTATAAATAATCTTTAGGAAAAAAAAGACTGTATTCTACTTGTATGCAAAATTCACAAATATGCTTAGTTTACCTAAAGCACGTTGATACAAAAACAGTAATGAATTTTATACCTGCCACAAAAACTAATTGCTAGAGATTATCCAACATCTCTCTATTCCATCATCACAGCAAACTCACCTCATTCTAGTTGTTCATTTTTTTCTATTCACCCCCTAAATAAAAGTTGAGTCATCTGGCGAACAGCCAGAAACTGGCACTGCTGCACTAGCCAAAGGATAGTACAAGAAACAAAGCTAAATTCAGCATTCTGACTAGTTTCCCAACAGGAAAATAGATGACTTGTAGCCAAGTTTCATCCAACACTGAGCCGGACACCTCTGGGAAAAAGAGGAAACTATTTTTGAGTTAGCAATGTCCAAGAATGATGTCAAAAGATAAATATGTGAAAAGGTTAATATAATACATGGCCCAAATACATGAAGGTCTATTGGGTGAAACTAGCATGTTTGAGTAGGTAAGACATAAAAAATAGGACAAAAAGCTTTCTATTTGGAATGAGTGCAACCATTATTTTTAGTCTGCATTCACAACGAGTAGCCAGTCTAAGATACATGGCTGGTTTATGACAACATCCCAACTGTCAAATGTTGGGGGTTTAAAAATTGGCTTACGTGAATTACGACATGACCCAGCTGAAGTATAACATCAGCAAAAACTGTTAAAGCAACTTGCCAGTGGCAGAATCCTTGAGTAAGTATTGTTAATGTTGTACTGGTTAGAACTTAATTCCTTGGAGAGAACCTTAAGTCAAGAGAAGTGGAAGTTAGAAAAAAACTGTTTTTGTTTGGATTAAGCCTCCTGAGTTAGTAGGAAAAAAAAAAAACCAAAGGCAGGAAATGACTTGCTCTGTACCTAATGCGGAGCTATGCTTTTAATAGAAATTGGACCAGGAAGCTTTCAAAGATCATTTCCTTTTTTGGTGGGGTTGAATGTTTTCTGTGGGAACAGTTAATGTTTTTTCTCTGATAAATGTACGTAGTGCCTTGTAGTAAAACATGTAAGAACAGACAATGAGGACAGTCAGTCATCAAAAACAGTGTATTTTTCTTAAAATGCTTTTCTTATACAAAAATAACTACCCTTCACTTTTGAATTGGAACTTGACAATTATTTTATTGCAAAACAATCACAGGAACAGCAGTGGGGCAGGTCCTCTACCCAGAGGGGGTGCTGCAATGATTCTTGGGGCCAGCTGGAAAGCACAGTAGCCAAGGGACCCAAGCTGCCAAGAAGCCAACCCAGAACGAGCGTCCAGCACGTGGTGCTGCTGGTGGCGCTGGGAAACAGGATCTCTATTTTCATGATCTTTATTTTCACTTCATAACATAAACCCACCAGAGCAGGAGTCTACACGTGGGCTGCAGCGGGAGACAAAAGCCAAAGTGACATCGCTGGGTCTGCCTGGAACTGAACCATCCTTCTGGCTTCCTCTTGAAATTAAGGCTGGTCTTGACCGCTTGTCAGGATCTTCAACTCGGCCTCTCTGTGGATAAATATCTCTGGTGACCAGACAACTCAAACACAGTCTTGCTAAATGGCATAGTGTACAGGTTCTCTTAGGTTCCTATGATGAGCCTGTAGGAGCTGCGGGACTCCTCCCTGAGAACTAGATTTCACCGGACTATTTAACAGCCATAGGCTTAACAAATATCAAATGGCACAAAAGTTCTCTCTCCTTTTGAGGAGTATTAGTCACTTCCATAGGTCTTTCCTCAGAACCTGCTATGATCCATTGGACTAAAGCAACCTACTCAGCTGAGTCCTCAGCTACATCTTCTGCTGAGATATTTACCGAGTATTGAGAATATTTTACTGAATATTAAGAAATTGTGCTTTTAGCATACAGATTCTGCTCCTTTGATTTGAACTAAACCAGAGGATGTTTGAAAGCTAAAAAATTTTTGGTTCATATAGCTTTTGTCACCGCCAAAGAGATGCCACCTTGGTTGACTAGTGGAGTCATTTTTAATTTTCATATTGGTGATTATGCATCTCCTCGCCCCAGAAGCATTCAGCAGCAGAGAACAGGTGCAGGGCTGTGGAACTCTCTGCATTCAATAGACAAGAAAGGACTTATAAGGTGGGGGCGGGGGAAAAAAAAAGGACTTATAACACTGAGCAGTTGGTTGCGGCACAGTTCTTAGCATTCTAAATTCTGGAGAAGATGCTACTTTGTAGCCTCAAGGAAGGACAGTGGCTCAATTTAATACTTAAGACAGACAACATGATCACACTAAATAAGCTATATTTAGTGCTTTAACTAGTCCCTGACTATCCTTAGCAATACCCCTGAGGGGTAAGGGGGAGACTGAGAACTTACGCTTTCCAAGGATTAAGGTTCAAATGCTCTGAAATTTATAGGAGGTCAAATAAAATGAGAACTCAACTCTAGAGTAGAAACTCTTGTCGCTGGCACCAGCACGAGGCAGTAGTGATTCTCCGGTTTAATAACATTACATATACTATAAAAATAAAATGAAGTTTTAAGAAAGTCCATTACCATGTAAAGGTTTGCATTTTACTACTCCAACCCTGGACTTTTGCACAATGACACGCACTGGAGCCAAAAGCCCGTGGGAGTATGACTAAGGTGTACTGGCTGACAAAGGCTGCTGCAGTATGCCACAGGCACTTCAGTTGTAACAATTTTGAAAAAAAGTATGGAACATGTAGATTCCCAAGAAAAAAACTGCCTCAGATATTTAAAACAAGTAGTGGTAAGCGAACTCACTAACAACATTCGTGGGTAGGTATGACTTCTTTCCCACTGCTTTTTTTGATTACATATGATCACTGAGAACATGGCAAGGGAAGGTGCTGTTTTTTCCAGACAGGGTGCTTTGCTGTGGGCTTTTCTGAACAAGTGAGGGGTGCTATACCCCCGCATCAGTACTTCGTGGCTGGAAACCCTCCCTTCTAAGACTACCAATGTCAACGCGGGTAGAGACCTCACATCGTACTAATAACGTATCATCCTTAATGAAGGTTCTCTGTCTCAGGGCTTCCAGATGCATAAAAGTCACATAGCCAAAACCTTTTGGGTTCCGTGGGATTGTGGGTCTCTGGAAGGCAAGCAGCTCTGGTTTGGCATCCATTATCTCTTCATGGTTTTGCCTTAGAGGTCCTTCTGACTGATCAAGAATTGTAAGGCGTATTGTACCCTGGAAGGGCCAAGGAAGGAGGCTGTCATACTCTCCCTGCATTGTGTGGACAAAGAGGGATATATAATTGGCACATCGCTGGGCACTGGGTAACTGAAGGTGCAGGCGCATGCACAGTTTGTATCCAGGTTTGCCTGTGTAGAATCCAGGGCTATGAATGACAACAGCTTTCTCCTCTTCTTGAGATTTCAAGTGCATCCCAAAGTTGCCAATTTTCCAGATGTAAATCCCATTGCACTGCTGTGCTTCTATTTCAGCCACTTTGTCCTCAAGGGTACGAATAGTTCTTTTGATATCACTTACATAGATGCTGTGAGTTTCCATTTTAGCAGTCAGCTCTCGGATTTGATGGTCTTGTCTTACGAGGCGACCCTCTAGCTGTTGAATGGTTTCTTGGAAATTCTGGACCTCTGTATGACACCCAGAGGAAACCCGGGATGGAGAGGAAGAATCATATGGAAGCATTTCACGTGGATGCACGGGAGCTAAATTAAGGTTTAAATTTTGAACAGCCTGGGCCAACATTCTCATGTGAGACTGGGTATGCTCCTGCAGGTGGCGCGCCAAGTGATTCCTCTGCATCTGAAAATCAAGCATGAGCCTTAGGCTGGAGAGAAATACTGTGAGAGCTAGGAGAGGGACCCTGGCCAAGCCAGTTAAGTGTTCTAGGAAATGCCATGACTTCCTTCAATCCCCTACAACCTCTTTTGTCCTCATCAGATTCTCAAACCAATGAGATGATCTTGCCTCTTAAGTCAAAGGAAAAGTGAAGCTGTCCACTGAATACTTTGTTTTCACCTATTTCCTTCCACCTGCGAAAGTATCAGGATCTACACCCATTCTCTTCTGACTCAGAGATGACTCTCCTCTCATCCAGATTACTGCTTCATCAGGGCTCTGACGGGCACCCACTCCTTCCAACCCTTCAAAGAGTTTCTTCAGTTACCCCATTTCTTCTTTGTCTTCAGTCTCCTAACCCTTTCCCTCAGAATTATTATAGTCTTTCTCATTATTAAAGAGGGTAAATGTCTCTAGAGATCTTGTGTAACTCCCTCTAGCTAATACCATTTTCTCCCTTTCTTTCCTGTCATCATACTCTTCTCAGGTTATCGAGAATATCCTTATTGTTATAAGAAAAAACATTTATGATACTAACAATTATAAAACTATTTAAGTTGTTAAATGCATGCTCATGGTAAAAAAAAAAAAAAAACAAAAAAAGCCAGATAAAGAAGCCTCTTTTCCTGGTCTACTTCCCTTTCCTAGACACACTCACTCTGTTTCTATGTGACCTCAATCACTTCTATTATCATCACCAACTACTTCTCTAAATCAATAGTCCAACTTCTGATTTCTCTTTAGAGCTTAAGATCATGTATATAACACACCTGTCAGTCACCTCTATTCCCACTGCTGTTCTCCACTACATTATCCAACTGAATGTTCTTAATCTAGACTCAAAAACTAAAAAAAAAAAAAAAAAAAAAAAAATTCCTTACCTTTTCACGGCAACCAAAAGCACTGAATGTGCATGGAATTGGGGCAGTAGGACAATCTAAGTCATAATGATTAGGCATCTGAAAAACAAAGCAAAGGCTGAAAAATTTTTTTCTTTGCACATCATGCTCTGGTTTGATGAAATCACACTTGAAAGATTTCCTTATATTTCATTTAAACAAAATCAGGTATTTTCCGTGGCTGCTTTTGTATTACAATGGCAGAGTTAAACAGTTGCAACAAAAACTGTATAGTCTACAAAGATTAAAATACTTTCAAAAGTCATAATGAAAGGAAATAACCCCAAATCAATCACTCAAGTCAAGAAAATAAAATTGTTCCTATTGCTGAGAATTGGCACCCTCTAGTGGCATTTCAGAGAAAAAGTACCTTCTGATGTGAACTACACGTAAAAACTAAACCAGGTGTGGTCCAGGCCGTTATACAGTCAACTGTATAACGCCACTGAGTAATACCCATTATTTCCTTCATGACCACCTTTCAGAAAACTTACTTTTTATTAATCTCAGTGTCTTTTGGCTATACTGGACTGACTCAGATGTCAGAAGGTATTTTAAGGAGTCTCTAAAACTCATTCTTTAAGGGAACTCTAAAACTCATTCTTTAAGGTTGAAATCCAGTATGCAGGATAATATTCTTGAAAAGTGGTGCCAAATTCCTTTTAGACTTATATAGTCAGGTAATTAAAGCAGAAATAACCTTAAAGAACTCTTTTCCCAATCCTTCATTTTGTATAATCCAGGACATCATCAGCAAAATATTTGCCAAGAGTGAGACTGTACAAATTCTCAATTCTGTGGGCCTTATGGACTCTGTCCCAAACTCTCAACTCTACCAGTGTGGTACAAATCCAGCCATAAACACACAGACATGCAGGCATAGGCTGTATTCCAATAAAATATATACAGAAACAGATGGGGGCCAGACCTAGCTGATAGACTGATTCATCAACTCCTGATCTAGAATACTGACTTTCTTGTCAAAGATGGTGGGGCAAGTAGCTGGCACTGCCAGGATTAAAACCTAGGTTTTCTGACTCCTAACCTAGGTGTTTTCCTAGATTATTTTTGCTGGGTTTTAAATGTTTTATATAGTTTTCTTTAAATATTAAAATAGGAAACAAAAGAAAACCAAAGAGGTGAGACTTCATAAACAGAAGTTTAATGCTTTCAAACTAAAGCTTTGTTGGAAAAAAACTAAAGGACTCTGTTAACAGACAAATGGAAAAGTTTAACCCAGTTAGAGGTTTTGCTTGCTTCGACTTAGGTAATCAATTATGATCTCTGGGTCTGCAGAGTTCATGGGTGTATAAATATTTAGTGACTAATATTCAAATTTTGTGGGTAAACTCCCCAAATGTCAAAAGATAGCAATCAGATGGAATTTTCCTTTCTCTGTTAATAATAAAAATGTGTAATTTTCTCGTAAGTACTACTTCTGATGATACCCCATCAGTGGCCTACAGGACAACTGAATAGAGTGGCTACAGATCCTAGAAACCTCAATCTCCCAATGTCTGTCTGGAGTGAGAACTAACAAATAATGCTCTCCTACTAAAGAGAATTCCTTTGTTCAACTCTTCAACTCCACCATTCTCTTACTCCTCCAGCTGGTCTCTGGTCACCTGAGATCCTTGTTTCACAGTGTGTGCATACGTATTTTTTGAAGAATTTTTTTCTTTAAATGGGAATTTTTGATTATTTTTACCTCAGAATTATCCGGTTTTGTTTCAAATTTTTATACATATTTTAAATACAGGAATAATGTTATTGGCTTAGGAATTTTAACTACTTAGAAAGGGGCTGAGTATTTTGTTCTTACTGGAAGTATTTATTATGCTAACTTACATGAAAAATATCCACAAAGTACTAACACTTCTTAAATCCATATTTATTTTGCCTTACTGATTTAAAATTTCAACTAAAAAATCTAATTCATTTGGGCCTCCCTGGTGGCACAGGCGGTTAAGTGCAACACTGTGAAGCTGTGCAGCCTCTGCAGCACAGGTTTGATCCCAGCCGCCCAGGGAGATACCCACATGGCGCAGCAGACCTCTCCTGTCTTTCCCGCTGCTCCTCTCAGCAGTGTATTTCAGTCAGTCTACCTGTTCTGTTCCCTGCTCTCTCTGGTGAGTCCTCTCACCCTCCCACACATCTGGCCTGTACCCCAGTTCTTGTATGTATAAATAAAAAATAGATAAATCTTTTTTTAAAAAAAAGAATTGTTTAAAATTAAAAAAAATCTAATCCATTTATTTGTAGAAATGTTAATTTATAAGAGGGAATCATTATACCTGTTCTCTGATGAGCATGGTATTGCAGTATTCACAGATGACATTTGCCAAAGGACAGCTCTTATCATGGATCTGTATTTTATTAGAGAAAGAAAAGCATGAGAAAAATCTAAAAAAGAGCAAACTATTTTTATAAAAAGTGATCTTTCTCACTATGTAATAGTGAACAAATTAATGACATAGGTTTGTAAAACAAAAATGTAAGAATGTAAAGGTTGTTTTCTCTCCCTTTGTGTAGTAAAAAGATTCATCTCACCTTTCTGTTCTTTAAAAGAATTTGCTAATCACACAAAAGAGAAGCTCTTAAATCACTAAATCTGAAACACAGCATCTATGACTAGTTTGAACATCATCTACCAATATTAGCATTGTCCAAAGGCACTCCTTTAAAAATTTCCAACAGTATCCATGACGATTTAGTTAAATTCTTATCAGGAGGGCTAAAGAACAAAAGTATAATTGGGGCAGGGGGCTTCAATGCCCAGGTTTTCATAGGGCATGGAAGGGTGAGCCCTGTTTTCGAGGCCACAATGAATTTAGTTTTATCGCGCTGAGAAACAAGTAACATTCCAGGTTAAGTCCATTTAATTTACTGAAATTTACATCAATTTGCCCTACTTATGCCTCAGAGTTCTCTACATTCTAAGCAGGTTAGCAGACTTTTTTTTTGAACATTTCATCAACTTAAGTACAATTTGCTTGATCTCATAAGAAATTAGGAAAGATTACCAAGATATTTGTAAAAAACATGTTTAAGGAAATATTTAATAGTTACAAAAGAACATAAATAAATGTAGACTATTTTAGTAAAGAGAACAGAGGCTGGGGATTCAGAATGAGGCTCTCAGTGCTTGCTCAGCCACAATACCTACATGAAATTAAGTGCCATTTTTTTGTATCCTTAATTTTTTGACAGCACAGGATTTCTCTCCGCAGGTGTGGCCAGGTGTGGTAGCTCTCTCACCACCAAAGTACCCAGAGGCCTCTATTACAGTTTACTGGACTCTCCCTCCTTCCTACCCCCAGTCCTGCTTTCACCCCTCCCTTTCCACCCCCAGATCTGTGGTCAGCTCTCAAGGGTTTGCTTTAAAGTTTATATGAAGTTTCGTTTTAAAGGTAAATGTTTAATTGAACTATACACACACACAAGCGGCAGGAAAAAAAAGTGAATCCGTCGCATGTGTATAGTCTGATGGATTATCAACAAAGGAATACACTTTGTGGGATTTAATTGCTTCTCTATAAAAGTTTTAACAGCTCATTCTCTTTTTCAAGGAAAAGAGTACAAGTCTTATCTAGGAATCATTCTACTTGTTTTTCTCCAATCCAAGATTGCTCATTAAAAGCCACAGGAAATCCTAGGGGCTTTTATTACTTGGAGGTCTACTGCAGTAGCAAGTAGTATATTTTCTAAGAAAGATTTGCAAATATAGATCCTACACTTAATTTACTAAAATGGTTTAGTGAACTTGCTTAAAAATCAATTTTCCACGGCCTCTCTGGTGGCGCAAGGGGTTAAGACGCAACCTATGAAGCTATCTGCAGCCTCTGCAGCATGAGTTCGAGTCTCGGCAGGTCAGGTAACAACCCATATGGCACAGCAGACCTCTCCCGGCTCGACCACTGCTCCCCTCAGCAATGCATTTCATCAGTCTGCCTGTTCTGTTCCCCGCTCTGTCTCTGGTGAATCACCCCCAACTTCTGGCCTGTACCCTAGCTCTTGCATGCATAAATAAATAAATCTTTAAAAAACAATCAATTTTCCAACAATTGATACCACAGACCCAGAGCTGGAGTAACATCCTCATCCACTGCTAACCACCTCAAATGTGATTTAAAAACTGTTCTAAGAAATCATGGAATTAACAAATCCAAGTTAATACATACCTCTTTCTCTTCAAATGCCATCGACATAGCACAATTTACACAAGAAACCTGTCTCCTTGGGCACTCGTTGAGAAAATGCATATGGTATTGGTATCTTGGGAAGGGACGCTGGCACTGGGGACAATCCATAAGAGCAAACTCACAATGTGCTTGATGATCCTACAATAAGAAAAAAAAAAAAATTAGTATTTGCTAATCCTTTAGACATCTCTTAATCTCTTCTAAAAACATGGTATTCTCTTTCAGAGAGCTGGCTACTGAACCAACTTTGTCTAGTCCCACCAAGGAACCACCATCTTTCAGGTAATGGTTGTAAATTGCAAGTTTATACATAGAATGTGAATCCTCGAGTGCAATTAGGGAAGGGAGTTAGAAAGAGGTCATATTTTTCTAATTTTCAATTTACTATTGTATTAAAAGGACACTTCTTCAAAAGGAGCTAAGGGGGCAAATTATAAATATGTCCTAAACAGTGAATTTCAAATACAACATAAACAATATTTAATTTCCTGTAAAACCCAGCTAAGAACTGATTAAAAGCAAATTCTTTTAATTGATTACTTCAGTGTAGAAAAACAGAAACAAGCATAATGGCACTGAGGCGATGGCTCCGTAGAGTGGTCCTGCTGCTTATTTCAAAATGAGAGAAATGAAATTACTGGGTTAAAATGTGAACTTGTGTTGAAAATGCTTAGTTTTACTTACCAAAAAACTTAAAGAATAATGATTTCTTTTTTATTATCACTGGAGCAGTCAGACTAGATGGAATAAGACATTTCTGGTTTCTACTTTATATTCAATAATAAAAGGGTTGGTATTAATTCACAAGAATTTATCAATCAGTATATGCAAGGTACTGGGGCAACACATGGATGGACACAACAAAGTCCCTATTCTTTAGAACTGCTTTGCATATTTGCTAATGGCTAGAAAATAACTTTGATACCTCAAGGTGCCTCAGTTCCATCTTATGCAAACAACCTTCATTTGGACATTTCACCATCAGAGAAAGAATCTCTCGTTTTGCAAAATTGTCAGGAAACAGATGCTTTTCCAGCAGCATTTCATTATCGACTGGACATTTGTGACCCGCATCTCTAAACAAAACAAAAATACACATTTGTAAACGTTCATATTAAAAAGTCCAAACAAGTCACCACATATAAAATTTCCATTTATTATTTCCTATGGAAAACTCTAATCATTATATTGCAGAGTATCACCAAAAAAAGCTGTCCTATGAATGGTTTATGAACAATTCTTTTATGAAATGAATATAACTAATACTATATTGATTACCATCAAAAACTATGGGACTTTAGTTTGTGGGATAGATTTCAACCAAAAGAATAAATGAGAAAAGTTAGTTTATAAAATCTTACTTTGACTAGCATAAAATGAGTTGAAAGTAAAATGAGTTGAAAGTAAAGGGGATTTTGGCAGCCTACCAAGTCTCTGTTCTATACAAGATCCTACTGATATAGAATTAAGTATGCTGCTTACAGTAACAACATATCTCTAGTGTCTTGCACAGTCATAAGTAAAAATTAAACCAATCAGCAGTACCCCTATGAGGCCCCATTTTAAGGTGTACTCCGAACAGTCATTACAACATTCTGGTTCATAAGGAACAAAAGGTTTCCTTTATTTTAACATATAGGGTACAAAGTAGTAGGCAATTGAAGGGTCTTTATGTCCTTCTTCCCAATGGGTTTACTCCATCTTCTGCTGTGAAAAACCAACCCCAGGATGTGTAGGTGTCTGTCATTCCCCTATAACTTTTTGGGATGTCTCAATCTTCACTCACAGAATGAGTGAGCAGGTTGGGTAGGCTATAGGAACATTAATCAATCACTCAAACATTTGCTGAGTACTTGCTATGTATAAACCAACTGCTAGTTGCTATAGTATGCAAAAACATGCTAAAATATGGGGTCTGCCATCAAATATCTTGTAAGCAATACTGATGAATAACAGTCAATCTTCATAAGGCCTCTCACATCTTTCATAATGCCTTTTTTTTGGTATAATGCTATTTTTATAGTCAAATATTTCTGAGAAGCTTAGAAAGCCATAAAATATGTAGAGAAATATCTAAGTGACGGATGTCTAAGAAAATAAGAGGACTCTTAAAAAGTAAATCAGAAAACATTACCCATAGCATTAACAATCAATCTAGGGGGAAAAAAAAGGAATTAAGGTATGTTTTGAGTCTGAATGGCTTAAACCAATGAGAAATTTCAGAGCTGTTCCTTTAATAACAGCGTCAAAGTGGTCACCTCTAGCTTTAGAAGCGGACAAGGAAAAAAAAAGTCTCAGACTTCCTTTTGTGGGTTTTACTTCCTTTTCAGACCACTGCCCTACTACTTTTGTTTCTATCTTGCTATTAAAAAACTGCTAAAGATTAGCCACCTTCCTGGGTATGGGTGATACTTAGTAAAATACTGTATATTTCTACCTACAGGAAAATCAACAATCTATAATATGGTAGATTTTTACCTAAATGCAATTTAAATGAAAACATATAAACAGGGAAAAAAATGAAGCCTTTAATATTGCTTACCTGTATACCCTAAACCAGTGGTCTCAACTGGGGCACGTTTTTGCCATACAGGTGACATTGGCAATATCTAGAGACAATCTAGGTCTCAAAATTGGGCGCTAGTATCTCCTGAGCAGAGGCCCAAGATGCTGTTAAATTATCGCGCAACACAGTTGCGGCATCAACAGTTCTTTAATGAAATTAATACAACCAGCACCATACTGGTTACCTATCAGAAACTATGGGACTTTAGACTGAAGGATAGATTTCAACCAAAAAAAAAAACAAAACAAAACAAAAAAAAAACAGAAAAAAAAAAAAAAAAGAAGAGAAGTACCTTGCCCCTAATGTTAATAGTTGGGAGTTTGAGAAAATCTGCTCTCAAGAGATCTTGCCAATTCTACACTGGGCATAAATTTTTCAAAAAAATTGAAACAAGAGACATGCTCCTTTGCAACTTAAGTTCTGAGTATGGACAATTTCACCCTAAATTCAAGTTTTACAGAAAAGTTGATTTAAAAGTTGAAAGAGAAAAAAATTACAAGACTAGTGAATAGCCAGCTTAATCTACTTAAGAGTGATTACAGCAACATAATACTTAAGAAAATAAAATTCCCCCTCATCTCCCCCTACTTATTTTTTTCTGTATAGAACTCCTTAGTCATCTAAAGATATTCTCATTTACTTTTGGATTATAACAAAATATATCTATTTCTTAGGAGATGAATATAAATCATTTGCAGAACTATGTGACTTACAGAGAACCTACTGTGTGGCAGGCACTCTTTCTGTAGCTTAGGAAATACCAAGAAATAAAACTAGATTTCAACCCTTGCTCTTAAAGAGCTTATCTTCCAGTTGGGCAATATGCACACACTATGCACACAAATTATCTGATATTTTAGATGGTGATAACTGCTAAGGAAAAGAAGAAAAGTAAGAAAACAGACTGGGGATATTGGAGGGAGGCATGCTGTGGTATAAACAGAATAGCCAAGTCCTATGAAGCACACTGGAGTAAAGGGAATTGGTCAAGCAGATAGCTGAGTAATAGTTTTCTAAGCAGAGAATAGCTAAAGCCAAAAGCAGAAGCATGTGTGACATGTTCAAGGAACAGCAATGAGTGGATTGAGAGGAAGAAGAAAGCAGAGGGAGAGAGAGGAGAAAATGAATTATGAATCTATCATACAGGGCCTTAGAAAGGACTATGGCTGCTGCTTCCAGATGACCTGCTGCAATGTTCTGAGCAGAGATGACATCATCTTACTTATTTTACCAGGTTTACCTGCTGCTGTATTAAGAACAGCCTGGAAGAAGGAAAGGACAGAAGCAGGGTGGTCTTTGAAAGCTGGTGATTGGGAACAGGGTGGTAGCAAGCACAGGAACTGAAAAGAGATTAGATTTTGAATACATTATGAAGGCAGAGTCATCAATTAGTATTTTAAGTCTACTGTTTATTTTACGATATCAACACACATCTGGTAACAGATTTTATTGTGGCTGGGATCAGAGTAACTAATCATTTAAAAAGTAAGCATTCTTTGTATGGTTGAGATTCTAGTAGCATCATTATTTTTTTTTTTAATTATTTATTTACTCAAGCACTAGGTATAGTCAGAAGCGCAGGAGGGTGAGAGAATTCACCAGAGCCAGAGTGGGGAATAGAACAGGCAGATTGACTGAAATACACTGCTGAAGGGAGCAGCGGGCGCAGCAGGAGAGGACTGCGTGCCATGTGGGACCCTCGCCAGTGGCAGGGGATTGAACCTACGCTGCAGAGGCTGCGGGCAGCTTTGCAGCCCAGCGCTCAACCACTGCGCCACCAGGGGAGGCCCAGTAGCATATTATTTAAGACACGTCCATTCTATATTATTTTGCTAAAGTATAGAGACTCACAACCCCACCTCCTCTCTCCCCCAATCTGCAACAGAATTGCTTTAAATAGAAGTAGCTATTTATTTATTTATTTATTTATCTATCTATCTGAGGGTCAGGAACAGGGAGAGACAGAATTTACCTTTTATATCACAGTAGGAACGAGAATGAGAATAAGAATCTAAATTTCTCAATCTTCTGTCCAGTGTTCTTTTCCCCAAAGTAGTTTTTTATGTATAATACTACACATAGGATGTCCTGTGCGCTAGGTAGTAATGTTTTCTGTATTTGGTTTTATTATAGGACACAGTTTCCACATGTGCTCACATACCTGATTGATTTGATGATGCAGGCTTTGCAGAACCTATGGCCACATGGTGTTTGCACGGCTTCCCGTAATGCCATCAAGCAGATGGGGCATTCATACTTGCTTTCCAGAGGTGGGTCAAACTCCACATCATATCCCTGGATCTCTTCCATAAAAGAGCTGGAGAGGTTCCCCGTGCTAGCAGTTCCACTCACACTGTCATCTTTTGCTGCCGCGCTACAGGAGCTGGCCATGGTGGCACAGCAGTCGCTTTCAGACTGGCTGGATCCACAACTGTTTTCACAATTTAGCAGACTCATAGTCATGTGATTTTTAATTGCTCTGTAAAAAAGCAAGGAAAAAAAATGCCTTAACACACACACACACACATATCATAGCTTATCCATGCAAATCACCACTTAGTTGTATTAATATTTACAGAAAATTTTCAAAGATTTTGTACTTATGAGGAGCTGCTGTCTGAAAGTGATCCTCAGCCTATGCAGCTAGGTCTCCATGGCAGGTAATTACACACTGAGGGAAATTCCTAATATATGCTAGATACAAATCAAGAAACAATGTAAACCTTTGGCAATACAGTGGACAATTATCCCCCTGCCTATCTCGCTCTTATATACAAAATCTGGCTCCCGCCATACCAAACAGCAGCATAAGAGAATCACCCTAAATCTTTTTATCACCACAGGCATCTTTTTCTTCTCGAAAAGAGTCTGCCTACCATTTGACGAGCACCTACAAAGGGATGAGGCACTGCTCTGGGTGGAGACGCAGTACCATGAAGTGGTGAAGAGGTTAGGTGCTGGTAATAGATGAACGGGGTTTAACTCTTTTCTTCATCACTTGGTACATGACCTGGACAAGTTATGTAACCTTTCTGGGCTTCAGTTTCCTTATCTGGAAATGAAGATAATGATAGAATCCACATCTTAAATTACTGAGAGGATTAAATGTGTTAATACATACACAGCACTCAGAACTGTGCCTGGAAGTAAGAATGGGTTATGATTACGTGCAACTCTACGTAATAATTTTATTTACTAGTTGTATTGTCCCCACTTTACCCAAGAGAAAACCATAGAACTTAAAAAGGTCAAATAACTTGTAGAGAATTAACCAACTAATATGTAAGAGAGCTGGGATCAGAACCCACATCTATCTGTACTCAGCACCTATGTACTCTGTGCTATGCTATGCTGCCATTTGGATGAAGCTGCATCTAAAAGTGCATTGCCTTTACTTCTATTACACTAGACGAAGAGGCAGACCACAGCTTCTATTAATCAGGAACTGTCAAATGTTATTATGCTGGGTTGACAGAACTCCAAGAATGAGCAGAGAAAAACGACATCTTTTATTTGTTTAGTTTTAATATTTTTTGAAAAATAAAAAAAAAAAATAGCTAGTTAATATGGACAAAAAATGTTTGCGGCAGTGTGATTGTGACTAAAGCTCTAGCTTGCATGCAGAAAATATGCTCCACCACAGGATTCTTTTCAACTTCATGTGCTACAGATATCCACATCATGAGATGCTACAAGTTAGACTGGGATAGAACTTTGGCTTTACAAAAGCTACAATCAGTAAGAGTTAGTAGATATTCTTACCAGTAAAATAAACATTTCTTATCACCACTTTTTGCCACTAATATGCAGAATTCATGTGACTTTCTACATGAATTAATAAGAAGGGATGGAACAAAGTTTAAATTCTGACTTACCTTATAGGTTAAGAGCTTCATGCCCACAATTCCCTTTGCAGAGTTGTGAATCTAGTATAGTAAGCACTCCTTTACATGTTGAAGGGTGTAACCATTGCCAGCTTGTTATTCTTATTGCAAAACGAATAAATACCACGGATTGTCTTGTCAAAAATTATGGCTTAAACCCATAAAGCAGGGCCTCCCTGGTTGTGCAAGGGGTTAAGCACAGCACTATGAAGTTAGCAGCAGCCTCTGCCACACGAGTTCAATCCCCCGGCCAGCCAGGGAGCTACCCACATGGCGCAGCAGAACTCTCCTCTCTCACCCACTGCTCCCCTCTGCAGTGTTTTCAGTCAATCTGCCTATTCTGTTCCCCATTCTGTCTCTGGTGAATCCTCTCACCCTCCCACACCTCTGGCCTGCACCCCAGTTCCTGTATGCATCAATAAATCTTTTATAAAAAACCCATAAAGAAGTACCTGGGTATATATTATAATTCAGAGATATACTGTTAAATGTTTTGAGGGAGCAGAGAGTAAGGTGATGATGTGCAAACACTTGTTCCTCTAAGATTAACAGATGCTAATGAGAGAAATGTGCTACCTCAAATCAAGTTCTGCCTGGTTAAATATATAATGCACATAAAGTTAAACCATGGAAAACAAAACAATATGTACAGAGAAACAGGAACTATTTGCCGACTCCTTAAAATCCATTCCTCAGTACATTTCAATCTATTCAATAGACGCCAAAACCTGCACAAGTACCCTCCATTGGTATACTTTGTTTTGAATACAACTTTCAGGGGCCTTCTTCCTCCCAGGCACTATTCTGTTCTTTAGAAGGCAAGATTTGAAAAACTTCTTTCAAAGCCAAGCGCTCAATTACTTACGAGCACTACCTATCCCACTTTATCACAGAAAAGACCTCAAGCCACAATTATGAAATCCTAGGATATGTGTGTGTGTGTCTGTGTGTGGTTTTGCTTTTTTTTTGGGGGGGTGGGGTGGGGTTGGGTACCCGGAGGCCTGAATGTCCTATGCGATCCTTGTGCTCATCACATGGGCAAGAAGCGCCTGAAACACATTTCTTCCTTGAGTCACAAAAGAGGCCAGACGATCCTTACCCCACCCCCAAACTCAAACTCAGAAAAGTCCCTTCCACGGCCCCTGGCAATCACAAGGAAATGGACAAAATGCCAGCGGTCAGGTTCGAGAGGCCAACACTTAGAATTTCTTTACATTGTTCCCTCGCTTCCGAGTGGCAAGACAGTGAGTGAGTTGCTCTGCCGAGAAACAGAAGCGGCACGCACACCCCCCGCTCTCGAGCTGCCGCCAGTAGGTGCTTTCTATTCACGTTCAGGACACTCCTGACTCTCGGCTGGAGTTCCCCTAAGGCCAAATACTAGGAACAGCCTCATCAACCGAGCGTCTGGAACCGGCGCTCGAACTCCCGAGTGTAGGGGCGGGAGGAAACGTTCGTGTCATCTGCACTTTCTTTTTGTTTGAACCTCTCTCGAGTTCAACCGGGAACCCAAAAATAGCTTTCCCCGGACGGTGACAGAGGAAATCGGTGGAAATTCAGGGCGGACTTTTTAAAAAAGTTTCTAACACCTCCGAGGGCCGGGAAAATCCAGGAGGCAATTTCCTTTTCTGGGAAGGGGGGAACGTGGGGTGAGGGGAAGTGGGGCGGGGGAGCCGGCGCGGGATTTCCGCGGGGCTGGGCTGGGTTGGGGTGTCGGGGTGGGGGGCGTTGAAGACAGCCCGGGTTGGGGGGGGGTCCTCCGAGGGCCAGTGGAGCAGAGGGGAGGGGGCGGCGACCCCTACCTGTGGGAAAGGAGAAAAGAGGGGGCTCTTCGGCGCCCCCAAACTGCGACACAAGAAAGGGGGTGCGTCTCCAACCTGCGGAAAGAGAGGCCGCGGCCGCGGGGAACCCCTGGACTCACCGCTCCGGTGCGCTGGCCGCCGACTCCACCCGGGCAGGACTCCCTCAGCCACGGCGTCGGAAGAGATCGCACCCCGCGCTCCGGGCCGAGGCGGCCCCGACGCCAGTCTACGGGCCCCAAGGCCGCCGCCGACGCGTCCCGGGGCCGCCGGCTGCCCAAGCCCCAGCGGCGGACGCTTCTACTTCCGCCTTCTCGGCCGGCCTGCGGCGGAGGGGCAGGGAGCGGCCGCGGCCGCAGACAGAGCGGCCGAGCCGGCGCGCGCGCCCCCTGGCGGCGATCCTCCAAGGCTGCGTCGCGGCCGCCGGCAGGTTAAATGGGCAACCTGTGCTGTGGGGCTGGGCTTGCCTCGAGCTCCCCTGGGGTTCCCGCGTGGGAACCCCTCAGCCAGCAAGCCTGAGCTGTAGTGAGTGATGTGAGTGTGTGTAGGGGTGTGTGTGGGGGTGTGTTTGTGATCTGTCGAGTAGCCGCGAGAATAGAAATCTCAAGCTGTGTTTTTATAAGTTTTCCCTATTCAAGTTTTCTCCTGAAAACTCCAATCACTGACCTGCTGGAATTCTTAAATCCCCCCTACCAGCTCCACCTTCCTTTCCCAGGGCGTTTTAGGGCTCGGTAGTACGCCCCCATAGCATCTTGTCTTTCCTCTTCCACCAGTTCAATGGAGTCAAGCCTATGAGCAAACACTTCTTTAAAACTGCTGCCAGCTACACTACACATCCCTTTCGCTGGCGCTGTCAGGAAAGAGCTATTTTGAATTCCCTGTTTAAGTGGATGCAAATGTCTAAAGAATTTACAGGCACTTTGCAGGAGATGCCCAAAGGATTTCACTGGCAGCTGCAAGATGACTCACCTCTCAAGGGAGGTGGTAAGGGTGGTGATTTTTATAGATACCTGCCCTGAAACCAGAACGTTGTTTTCAAATCCAGTTTTTCCCATTTATAAACTGCATCAGTGTAGATAAATTTCTTCATCTGACTTTCTGCGATGTTGTCATCTCTTATTAACACCGGGTTAATATTGGTGCCTGTCTCATAGAGTTGTTGAAGGGATGAAGTAATTCAGTATATGTAAATAAATTATTTAAAACTATCTAGGACATAATATGGGCGCAATAAATATCAGCACTACTGTATCACCTGCCCCTTCCCCATGGCCAATATTCATAGAAAATGCTTATGTTTTCAACATAAGAACCTGTTACTGGTTCTCAGATTCTAGCTGCTGCCCCTTCTCTTTTTTAAAATATATTTGGAAATATTGAAGACTTGAAAACTACAGGAAAATTTACACATATCTGTGTGCTTACCACTCAGATCAAAAATTAAAATTTCACCAGTAGAATTGCCAGCTCCAGTGTCTCCCTCCCCATACTTTTCCTTCCCTTTATGGAATTAATAGAGTATCTTGATAGGTACAGCAATTGTTGGCCCAGATTTTCTGAAGTGCTGCTAATGAGAAATGAACTCGGATATACCTGGTAGACTGTCCCAGGTAGGAGTGGGTAAGAGAGTCTTCTAGAACATAGAAATAAGGTGGCTCTCTTGCAGTTAAGTTATAAAATTCAAACATAGTTCATTAGTTGAAAACTTATTGGACAACCATTGTGTGTGTGACAGTCAGTCTTGAAGATGGTGAAATCCGTGCTCTGTGTGATCCCTTTCCACCATGAATAGGAACAGACTTGTGTAACCATCAGAATATTGTGGTAATGACAGAATGTGACTTCCTAGGACAGGTTGTAGAAGATGTTGCGACTTCTGTCTTGATAGCTCTTAAATTACGAACTCTGAAGGAAGCTACTGTCTTGTCTTGAGGACTCCCAAATAGCGCTCTGGAAAGACCCATATAAGAAGGAAGTGAGTCCATCCGCGAATCACTACTGGGGCTTCCTGACAAAGTAGTCATCTTGAGAGTGGCTCCTCCAGCCCCTGTCAAACTGTCAGATAATGCACACCACCCAACATCTTAGCTACAACTTTAGCAGAGAAACTTCCAGTTAAGGTGCTTCTGAATTCCTGACCTACAGAAGCTGTGAGGTAATAAATGCTTGTTCACTTAAGCTTCTAAATGTTTTGGTAACTTGTTGCACAGCCTTAGATATAGGTTAAGTTAAGCACTCTTCTTGTCCCAGGAGACTTAGAAGCAAATAAAATGGACCAGACTTGTTTCTCATGGGACTTACATTTCAGTAGGGGTTAGGGACAGACCATAAATGGACAACAGACAAATAAGATAATTTTAGATAGTGAAAAGTCAGAAAGTACCTGAGAGAAAGTGCATTTATAGTCAAGGACAGCCATTAGAGGAGCAGAGGTTTGAGCTAAAATCCTGACTGATGGTTTCATCATGCAAAGTTTTTCAAGCAGAGAGAACAGTCATTGCAAAGGTCCTAAAGCTGAACTGAACTTGATCTATAATTTAGTGCATAAAGTCAGTGTTGCTAAAGCAAGGAGAAGTAGCTAGAGTGGCAGACTTCAAACCGGGGGGTGCTCGAGGGGTCTCTGAAGGGAGCCAAAGGCTTTCCATAAGTTTCCTGCAACTGGCTAGTTGTCAGAGAATGAAATTTAAGATATCAACATCTCAATTCTTTTCCTCAAATCAGCTTCTCATTCTTTCTTACAAATGTTTGACTTAGTTCTCCTGGCCCTCTCCCCATTTTACAGAAGAAAGAAAAACCTTTCACCATGCCAAATCCTTTTTTTTTTTCCTTCTGATTTTGTTATTGAAGTAACATGGGTTTATAGCATTGTGGGTTTTAAATGTACGCTCTTGTATGTTATATATAAGCTCTGCTGAGCTAGAGAGTAGCAACAATGCAGACAGAAATGCAGGCAAGGACTAGTAATCCAGGAAAAGGAGATTTGTAGGCAGGAAAGTGATATGATGTCACTCTGGCTGCTAAAGAATGGGGACAAGGATAGAAGCAGGTGACATCAGTTGGCATTCAGGGTAGTGGGCCAGGAAAGATGGTGACTTGTACTGGAGGATGTGGCAGATGTGATTAGAAGCAGGCAGGTTCTGGAAACATTTGGAAGGAGAACCCCCATGTTAGAACTAGCTGACTGGGTATGAGCTGGTGATAACAAGGGACTGTGCTATATTTGATGAACACTTGGGTTGGTGGAGAAGAATTAAAGAGGAGCACGTTGGGAGAGAAAAGAAGCAAGAGTTCTAATTTTGACCCTTTGAGATTTGTGGTGCTTAACAGTATCCATTACAGACCTTTAGTAAGCTGCAGAATTTAAGCCTTTGAAGTTTGAGGAAGAAGTCTGGTCGGAGTTTTAGGGAAGACCAGAAGACACTATATAGGGAAGAGAGGCAATCTGGTGCATACTATCTTAACAAAAGTTCTTCAGCATCTTTCTCATGCCAGAAGCAGGAAGAGAAAGCAAGCAGTTTGGTTAACCTTTGATAGAAGTATATACCAAGAATGAATGAGTCAATCAGAAGAGTTGAAACCTAGAAAAAGGTCAGAGATCCAGTGTGGTATTTCCCACATACATTCTGTTTGGGGGAGGAGATAACCTGAATCAAAATCTTCCTCCAGCCGTCTGTGTGCGAAGGCAGAAATTTTGAAGATGGCTGGATTAATCTTTGAGTTGTTAAAGAAATTAGATCCACAGAGGACTTTGTGATGGCTAACAGCTGCGCCAAGCCAAGGGAGCACACAAAGGCCTTGTACCCCATAGAGGACACTGCCCTTAAGAATACATTCCAAGCCCCCCCCCACCCCCCCACCCCCCGGCCCACCGTGGTGCAGCGGTTGAGCTCTGAGTTGAAGCTGCCTGCAGCCTCTGCAGTGCCGCTTCCATCCCTGGCCACCAGGCGAGGGTCCCACATGGCGCGCAGACCTCTCCTGCCACCCGCTGCTCCCCTCAGCAGTGTACTTCGTCAGTCTGCCTGTTCTGTTCTCCACTCTGGCTCTGGTGAATTCTCTCACCCTCCTGCGCTTCTGACTGTGCCCAGTGCGTGTATAAATAAATAAATAAATCTTAAAAAAAAGAGAAAAGAATACATTCCAAGAACAATGAGTTTCAGAGCAGCCCCTCATTTCTCCTACCCCCTTCCTCTACTCCACCTAAATAAAGAAAAGTTTTCAGAGCAAAAGAAGGAGGTTGTGGTGCTGCAGACCTCTCCTAACTCGCCCGTTGCTCCCCTCAGCAGTGTATTTCAGTCAATCTGCCTGTTCTGTTCCCCAGTCTGTCTCTGGTGAATCCGCTCACCTCCCACATCTCTGGCCTGTGCCCAAGTTCTTGTATGCATAAATAAATAATTTTTTTTTAAAAGAAGGAGGTTGTGAGAACTGAAGCTGGATAAACAAAGAGGTTCAGTGAGGAAGGAGTGTGGACCTGTGGATATGTACAGGAAGGCTCTTTGGAGCCTGCAGACAATAATAACAGCTTTGGGGTCATATTCTTGGCTCAGTTGGCTGTTCAGGCTGAAAGCAGTGTAAATTTCAAGGAGACAGAAGTTTAGTTTTGAGGTGTACATGAGTTCCCAAAATTGTGCTCTGATTTTCTCTTTGGTAAAGTTTGCTTAATTAGCAAGGAACAAAATTACCTGCCCATCTTCTTCTCTACGCTGTTCTGAAATTGCAGTCCAGAGCCTAGACTACACTTATTTTTCCTGTTCTTGGAGAATGGTGGGGTTTGCTTTTTTTGCTTTGTTTGGGAGAGTGGGCAAGGTAGGAACATTTCCACTGCGTTACATGATTTTTTCCCCCTTGTTTCACCATTGCTCATCAAAGAATGTTGTGTTAAGTTGACCCAGTTTGCAATATTCCTGGAAGGAAAGAATATACCAGCCAGAGGATATAGGTAGCAGATCTATTCATAGTTATATTTTTAATGTTAAAGAGTTGCATTGGTCTGATTTGAATATTTGTTTCCTGTCAACTGAGCTGTGTGCAGTCACAGTGGTGTATAAAATCACTTTCTGAACTAAAGGAGCTAAGGGTCAGGTTCATTCATCAAGATAAATAAAATCTTATGCCTTCTCTTGGCACAGTCTCTTCTGGACATGTTTTTAAAAATTACATTAAGACAAAAGTCTAAAACTTAAAACAAGAAGAAAGCTACTTGTCCTTTTGGTGTTATTATGGAACTTTTCACCTAATAA